CACCCACCCACACTTCACCTTGATCATCTGTAGCGACCTAGCGCGCCCTTGAGTTCACTTAAGGTTCGGGTGACAGGCTCGGGAAGATGCAGGGCAACATGGCAGGACGCCTGCTCTTCCTTTGTGGGCTGTGCACCTGCCCGTCCAGGGCTTTCCCAGCTGCCCCGCAGCCCCGGCCCTACCTGCACGCGAGCACTGCTGAGCCAGCATCCCTTCCAGAGCCGCCACATAGTCGGGGCCCAGCCACTCGAGGTAGGTGGTTCTCTCCCGCACAGGCTCCGCCCGGATGGTGGCGTCCTTGAAAAGCAGATCTTGGCCATGATAGTCGGAGGAGTCGAACATTTTGAACCCGTTCTTATTGTGGTCATCTCCAAACAGGCCCTGGAAGCGCCACACGCAGGCCAGCTTTTTATCTGGGCCCACAACGGGCCACCCAGGGGCTGCTGCCAGTCACTGCCCCCCAGGAGGAGAGCCAGGGAGCAGGGCTTTCAGGGCACCAGGCCTCGGCCTGGAATCACAGGCTGGCAGCTCCCCGACCACGGTCATCAGAAGGGATCGGAGTGAGGTGTGAGGAAGCTGCCAAAGGGAGGAGTGGAGTGGCTATCGGTCTTTCCTGGGGGACTCAAGGATCCTCTTGAGCAGTGGTTCTCAACCTTCCTCATGCCGCGACCCTTTAATACAGTTCCTCATGTTGTGGTGACCCCCAATTTCATTGTTACAAATTGAACATAATTAAAGCATAGTGATTAATCAACAAAAACAATATGTAATTATATATGTTTTCCGATGGTCTTAGGCGACCCCTGTGAAAGGGTCGTTTGACCCCTAAAGGGGTCGCGACCCACAGGTTGAGAACCGCTGCTCTTGAGGATCTGATGAAAGTGCTCAGCCTTGTTCCCAGAATAATGCACATCCAAACAGGGTCCGTCCCCCAGGGCATGTCAGAGAGGTTGGGGGGAGGCAGGAAGGGGTGGTTTAGGACCAGGACCCTGTTGTCAGACAGCCTGGGTGAAATTCTAGATGTGTTTTGAAAGTGCAGCCACCAGGACTTGCTGATGGGTTGGATGCAGAGCATGACAGGAAGGCTGGAGTCCAAGATGACTCCCGAGGAAACGGAGAGGCTCAGGTGGGAAGACTGAGGGAAGGGCGTTCAGCCTCAGACTTGTTCCAAACACCAGATGAAATGTCAAGTAGGCAGTTGTTAGATGCAAGTCTGAGGCTGAAGGGTGGGGCAGCAGACGGAAGATGCACATTGGGGAGCCATCGGTGTATCGACGGAAGTTAACGGCCTAGGACTGGGTGAGGGCCACAGGGGTGCAGGTGCAGCAGAGGGAGGTTTAGGATTGAGCCCTGGGGCACTCCTGCAGTCACAGGCCTGGGAGGCGAGGAGGGACCGGAGGCTGGCAGGAGGGGCAGCCAGGCAGGCAGGTGTGGGCCAGGGCCAGGGCCAGGGGGAGGCTCCAGGACGAGGGAGCTGCGCCCAGTGCTGTGGAGAGGTCAGGGAGATGAGGCTGCGAAACGGCCACTGGACGTAGCCACCTGGGTCCCTGTGCCCTCGACCAGGGCGGTTCCGGGCCGGGTGGGCTGGTGTGGAGTAGTCTCCATCCTTAAGGGAGCCCAGAAGGGGAGGAGTGGTGGCTCCAGAGCAGAGACAACGCTTTGAAGGAGTTTTGCTGTAAAGGGCAGTGGGATTATGGCTACAAAGGGATGTGAGACCAAGAGAGGTTTTTTGTTTCTTTTTAAAGATGGTAGAAATAGCAGCATGAGAGTGGTCCAGCTGAGAAGGGCAAATTAATAATGCAGGAGACAGAGGGGAGAGTGGTTGGAGGGAGGTCCTAGGCTGAGTGAAAAATCACTGAACCCCCCTCCCCCCGCAGCCTCAGTGTCTCCTGAGGTCTGCTCCAGGCAGACTGAGGAGTGCTGGGGGCTTGGCTCCCCTCCCATCCACCCCCACAATGATGTGGGCCCCGCCCGGCTCACCTGGGCCTTGTCCAGCAGTCCATACACGGCAAAGATGTTGGTGTCCGGCCGCACCATGACGGCGTGGGCCGGCATCTGTGCCAGGTTGCAGTCTTTGAACTGAAACACCTCGGCCCGGGCCCCATTGGGACACAGCAGCTCATAGTCCTCCGACCGGAGCTCAGCAGCCCAGGGCTCCGAATTGTGGCCTGAGGGGAGGGAGGGGAGAGGCTGCTGTCCTCCTGGACCCCCAAATCCCTGGCTGGGAAGAGGTGGCAGTGTCTGCCCCGCTCCCAGAACCCCCCATTCTCCAATTGGTCTCCCTATTCCCGGATGAGAGAGCCTGCTGGGTACAGTGTTGGTAGGAGCCACGGGTCGCAGGGAGTAGGGAGTGCCTACTCGGCGACAGGCTTTTCTCAAGGACTGCTCCATCCTCACGAGAGTAACGAGGCAGGCAGCCCCCCTCCCATTCTGGAGGTGAAGAACGGAGGCTCTGATCACTCTCAGGGAAAGCACCCCATCGGGTCTCCCAGGGCGCAGGCCTGAGGGTGGGATGCGTGTCTGAAGGTGGAGGTTGACCTCCTCCCCTGACAGCTGACGTTCTCAAACCAGATGGGGTAGAGCATCCTGTGTGGACCCGTGAGAGGCTGTTCCAAGGGCCTCACCTGCAAAGAGTCTCTCTCGTTTGGTACGTCTGGGGGGCCAGGACCCTGGGCTTTAAACCAGCCCCCGTGATCCTGAAGCAGGTTGGCCCAAAGGCTTCCGAGAAACAGTGCCCTTGGGGGTCATCACTTCTGTGTCTGCATGTCTTCACTTGGCACCCACCCTCGCCCCACTTCCCGAAGGAACGTCAGGCGGGCCCATGAGTAGAGACAAAAAAGAAAAAGGAAAAAGGGAGCCCTGGCCAGTGTTGCTAAGGGGCTAGAGCACCAGCCTGCACACCGAAGGGTCGCAGGTTCAGTTCCTGATCAAGGGCACGTACCCGGGTTGCAGGGTCAATCCTCGGTTGAGGGTGCGTGTGGGAGGCAACCAATGGATGTGTCTCTCTGACATCGATGTTTCTCTCTCCCTCTCTCTCTCTCTCTCTCTCAAATGAGAGAGAGAGAAAAGCAGTGCCCTTGGGGGTCATCACTTCTGTAGTGACTCCACCCCTCCTCCCGGGATGAGCCCCAGGCTCAAATGAGAGAGAGAGAGAGAGAGAGAGAGAGAGAGAGAGAGAGAGAAACATTCTTCCCCCTCTATCTAAAATCAATGGAAAAATATCATCTGGTGAGGATTAACCAATCAACCAACCAACCAACCAACCAACCAAAAAAATACACAAAAACAACAACAGAAAAAGGAAACGAGCAGCCCCAGAAGGCGGGTGTTCACTGCAGGCGGTTCTGGGAAGGCCTCCCTGACCCCAGAGGGCAGGGGGCCAGGACCAGGCAGGCTCCCAGGTGCCTGCAGGACACTCCACCCCCCTCCCGGGATGAGCCCCAGGCTCTTGGTGGAGGTTGGCAGGGGAGAGGGGCTGTGGCAACAGGGCCGGGAGCCCTTCTCAGCTCGGTTGGGGCAACTGGTCTGCAGCCGTGGTGACCTTCACAGGCAGGCGGGTCTGAATTCTGAAATATGAACTGATGTTCTTCCTGCATGTCTTGCTTTCCCTCCACCCACCTCAGCCTCCCCTTCAGGACTCATCATGCCTTTTCTACACTGAGTTTCCGTGCAGCGATGTGTTAGGAGAGAGTGGGAGAGACTGTGCCTTGAGTGTGCGGGGTCCAAAGCCTGGGTGTAGCAGGGTCTACAGACAGTGCAAACGAGGGGTGTTGGAGGGAAACGGCCTCCAGTTTTCAGACGAAAAGATTCCCTGCCGGAGGGAGCGCAGGAAGGGGCGGGACGTGGTGCATGTGAGGGGCCCTGCACCCCAACAGGACCCCGGTGGCCTCAGGGGTCCTAGAGCACAGAGGTCCTGAGCTCTTTTCCCCACAAGGAACCCAGAAAGGTGACTCCGGAGGAAAAACCGCCATGTGGCCTGAACGGGGTGGGCCCTGTCTCTCGGGCTGGGGGCTGCAGGGTGGCTCCCCTGCACCTGGCATTGACCTGCTCGGGACTAAAGACCAGAAGCTGCTGTGAACTGATGCCCCTGGAGAGAGGCCCCTGCCACCCCACCCCACCTCACCCCAC